CCATTTACTAAATCATGCTAAAGGAGACATGAAGAGAAATCAGTGAAGGAAACACAGTGAAATAACTTGAGCCAAGTATACAGTGAGCTTCAGTCTACCCAATCTACTTCACAGTCATACAAAAATAAGCAAATAACAGAGAATTTAAAAATCTATGCTTAAGGAGGTTCCTAGTATCAGTCTGAAAGTAACCATTATATTTAGGTAGCTCAGGGGTTAGTGGCCTTGCCTGGATGTCATTATTTGCTTCCTTGCCGTTCCAGGGTCTTCTGGCACCTACCTCTGGAGTTCCACTTTCAACTACCCTCTGAAACAAGTTAAAAATTGTCTCTAAGAATGCTGTCTGTGCTTTCTCCTACAGCATCTTAGTGTGTGCCTTCTCCATCCTTTCTTCTAGCACACATTTATTTTCAGATATTTTTAAAGAGCTCTCTGTGGGAAAGGCACTATAGTAACAGGTGTGATAAGAAGGGATGAGGAGACAAAAGGAAGTTTTACGTGGTCTCTGCCCTCAAACAGCTCTCAGGCGAGATGACTGCACAACCACGATCCATTACACAAAGTGATGGGCCGTGAAAAAGACACAGTGCACTGGGATTCCAGAGAAAGGAGAGATGAGAGGAGGTTTCATAGAACTGGCAGTATGTTAGTTAGATCAGTATGTTATGTCCGGATATTTAAAATATGTCACTAGATCTATCTACAAATATATATCATTTTTAAAGTTTAAAAAAGTCATTAATCTCAGGGCCGGAGCAGATCTTGCAAGATAATCTGATTCAAAATGGTATCATTATTACATGTTTTATAGACACGGCAAGTGAGACTCTCAGAAAAATATGCTTGCTCGTGGTACTTTGGTGAGTTTTAAAAAACCGTCATTAGATTGCTTGAAGATCTTAGGGATTTCATGCGCCTTAGTCAGAACTGATCCATTCCATCAACTGATTTTTAACTATGCAGCAAAATCCTTCCTAACATTTGATTTGGTCCTATTTTAATGACCTGAGTTCGAGTGAACTTTTAGTCACATGGAGATCTCAGTCACATGGAGATCCCAGATTCATAGGATTTGGCAGTTTCAAACCAGATTGCTTCTACAGCCTTCTGACCCATGTCAAACATTTGCTGTAAGTGTTTCCAGCCAGTTTTTGCAGTAACCATGAGATAGTCTTTGTTCTCTGGGTGTAGCTGGCAAGAGTGTGCGGCCATGACAAGCGACTGGCAAAAACGACTGCATACAAGTAAAAACAAAGCACTCCTCTCTACAGCTGTCAGTGGGGTGACGCTTTCAAACCCTGCAAGGACGTGACCTCCTACTTGTATAGGACTCTTGCTTTCAATCATCATGTACATGATGGTAATTGCCACTTCAAACACATAGTAGCCGTAGCTCATGTCATCGAAGTCTAAAATCCCAGACACCTGATATTCAGCATCTCCAGAGGCTGACTTGCAGGACTCCGTTAAAATATTGTGGTCATTGAGATCTCCGTGATTGATACCTGAAAGTAGAAAACCATGTAAAAACAGTTATTGACTATCCCAGTTCATTCCCTTTCCACTTCTCTTTCACAGGCAAAAACATTCAGATGATATGATAAGCAGTCAGAGATAAAGGGCAGTCAGAGATAAAGGGCCAGGCCCAATTTTTCTTGAAATAAAATAATTTCCTCTGAAAAGAAAAAAAGCAGTTAATTTGGGATTGTTTTGGTTTTGCTTCTCATCAGTAGAAGGCCAGAAGATGTAGACTGCAGTCACTGCAAATACCTGATTTTGGCTATTAGAAGAGGAAAGGGAAAAGAACTGCTCACATCCAGAAATGTTTAAAAAGAATAGAAACATATTCATATTATTAGAAGAAGCAAAGAGTCCTAGAATGGACCAGATTTGCCTTTATTTTCATCTAGGATTTTATTTTATTTTATTTTATTTATTTATTTTTATTTTTATTTTTTTTGAGACAGAGTTTCGCTCTTGTTACCCAGGCTGGAGTGCAATGGCGCCATCTCAGCTTACCGCAACCTCCGCCTCCTGGGTTCAGGCAATTCTCCTGCCTCAGCCTCCTGAGTAGCTGGGATTACAGGCACGCGCCACCATGCCCAGCTAATTTTTTGTAGTTTTAGTAGAGACGGAGTTTCACCATGTTGACCAGGATGGTCTCGATCTCTTGACCTCGTGATCCACCCGCCTCGGCCTCCCAAAGTGCTGGGATTACAGGCGTGAGCCACCGTGCCCGGCTGTTTTATTTTTTTAATTTTTATTTTTTTGATACAGAGTCTCACTCTGTTGCCCAGCTGGAGTACTGTGGCACAGCCTTGGCTCACTGCAACCTCCGTCCCCTGGGTTCAAGCAATTCCCCTGCCTCAGCTTCCTGAGTAGCTGGATTACAGGCGGGTACCCACCACACCCAGCTGATTTTTGTATTTTTAGTAGAGACAGAGTTTCACCATGTTGGCCAGGCTGGTCTTGAACTCCTGACCTCAAATGATCTACCCACCTCAGGCTCCCAAAGTGCTGGGATTACAGGCCTGAGCCGCCGTGACTGGCCTCACCTAGGATTTTAAACAAAACTTCCTGACAACATGGTAATTCTAAATTTCCTGTTTTTTAGTTATTGAAATAAGTGGTAATATTTTAAGTCAGTACTACACAAAGTACTGACTGCTGGCGTCTGTGGCCGGTGCTGCTCTACAAAATATTACTAATCTGCATGACATAAGAACAGAGCGAAGGGTGTTTAGAAAATTTTACGGTGATATGACATCCAAGAGTGTGATCAGTGGCCTTGTCTCATTGAACGAAGCATACAGGAGTTCAACTTTTGTCAAACTCCTGTGGTTAGCTGCATGTGACACAAACTGTAAGCTAATCATGCACAGCAGGACCATATGCCAGACTGTAATGGGTTGGGGGGAAAACCCTACACTTATCTTTTATCATAGATAGTCTAAGAAGCACTGATTTAAGCCACCAACTCAGGATTAGTAGGAGATGTAAGTATCCATGAGCAGTGAAGTCCTGAGTCACACACGATATAAGATATCTAATTTTAACTTTTAAATATAAGGCTGACTTCTACATGATTTAGGAGTGTGTAAATCATGCTTAAGCAATGTAGCAGAGTAAGTGGCACATATAAACAATATTATTGTACATCATAGATGTTAAGCTACGTATTTCTGAAATTAGGATATATTATACAATTGATTCAAAAATATATAAGGCAAAATTTGGCTGGGCACAGTGGCTCATGCCTATAATCCCAGCTACTAGGGAGGCTGAGGCATAGGAATCACTTGAACCCGGGAGGCGGAGGTTGCAGTGAGCGGAGATCATGCCACTGCACTCCAGCCCGGGCAACAGAGTGAAACTCTGTCTTTAAAAAAAAAGAAAAAAAAAAAAGGATTCAAGCTGAATGCATTGGCTTGTGCCTGTAATCCCAGCACTTTCAGAGGCTGATGTGGGAAGATCGCTTGCAGCCAGGAGTTTGAGACAAGCCTGGGCAACATAGTGAGACGCCATCTCTACAAAAACATAAAACATTTGCTGGGCATAGAGATGCATGCCTGTAGTCAGCTACAAAAAGAAAAAAAAAATTAGTAAGATTAAATAAAATTGAAAGTCCTATTCCATAGTAGCACTAGCCACATTTCAAATGCTCATAGCCACATAGGAGCTATTGAATTGAACAATGCAGGTACTGAACATTTCCTTCACTGAAGAAAATCCTACTGGACAGCAAGTACATTCTCTGATCACAATGTAATTACAGTAGAAATCAACAATAAAATATAACCAAAAAAGTTCATCATATTTTGGGGAACAGGATTTATGCTTCTAAATACCCATGAGTAATAGTACAAAAAAAGTAGCCAGGCATGGTGGCACACGCCTGTGGTCACAGCTACTCGGGTGGCTGAGGCAGCAGAATCATTTGAACCCAGGAAGGAAAGGTTGCAGTGAGCAGAGATTGCACCACTGCACTCCAGCCGGGGTGACAGAGTGAGACTCCAGTGAAACAAAGAAAGAGAGAGAGGAGAGAGAGAGAGGGAGGGAGGGAGGGTGAATTTCATGGTGTGTGAATTACATCTTAATAAAGCTGTAAAAAATAACAGGGGCTTGGTGTGGTTACTCATGTAATCTCAGTGCTTTGGGAAGCCAAGGCAGCAGGATTGCTTGAGCCCAGGAGTTTGAGAGCAGTCTGAACAACATAGAGAGACGCTGTCTCTACAAAAATAAAAATATTCGCCATGTGTGATGGTGCATGGCGGTAGTCCCAGCTGCTTGGGAGGCTGAGATGGGAGGATCGCTTGGGCCCAGGAGGTGGAGGCTGCAGCAGTGAGCTGTGATCGCACCACTGCACTCCAGCCTGGGTGACAGAGCAAGACTTTGCCCCAAAAAGAAAAAAAAACATTTAAAATTATGCATCCAAAGATACCATACCATGAAAAGATAAGCCACAGAATGGGACAGAATGTTTGTAACACATATAACTAGCAAAGGACTCATATCCAGAATATATTTAGCACTTCTACAAATCAATGAGAAAAAAATAATTTCAGTAGAAAAACAGGCCAAAGACTTGATTTGGCACTCCTCAAGAATATATGTCAAATGGCCAGTAAATAGGGAAATGTATTTTTTTTTAAGACGAAGTTTCGCTCTTGTTGCTCAGGCTGGAGTGCAATGGCAGGATCTCGGCTCACTGCAACCTCTGCATCCTGGGTTCAAGCGATTCTCCTGCCTCAGCCTCCTGAGTAGCTGGTATTACAGGCGTTAGCCACCATGCCCGGCTAATTTTTGTATTTTTAGTAGAGACGAGTTTCACCACGTTGGTCAGGCTGGTCTTGAACTCCTGATCTCAGCTGATCTGCCTGCCTCAGCCTTCCAAAGTGCTGGGAATACAGGCATGAGCCACCGTGCCCAGCTAGGGAGATGTATTTTAAAACCATGTTGTAATAATAAACTAGTATGTACAAATCAGATTGAGAAAATTTTAGAAGTTTGACAACACCAGGGTGTAGAACAATAAAAACTTTTACCCTCTGCTAGCTATAGTATAAATTCACAGAACCACTTTTGAAAATGTTGGTATTATCCAGTGAAGCTGAATATGGACATGTGCTATGACCTAGCAATCTTACCCCGAGGTAAACACTCAAAGACTAATGAACGTGTGTACGGACACTCAAGCATGTTCATGGCACCACTGTTCTTAATAGCCCCAAATAAGAAACAACCCAAGTATCTTTTAAGAGTAGAATAATATGTGATATATTTGTGAATACAATATTTTAAAGTTATAAAAGTTAACCAACTAGGCCGGGCGTAATGGCTCACGCCTGTAATCCAAGCACTTTGGCAGCCAAGACGGGCAGATCACCTGAGGTCGGGAGTTCAAGACCAGCCTGACCAACATGGTGAAACCCCGTCTTTATTAAAAAGAAAGAAATTAAAGTAAAAGTTAACCAACTCTAGCCATATGCAATGACATGAAGAACTTACAAAAGTAGTATTGAGATAAAAAAAAAAAAAANAACAAAAAACGGAAGACAAGTGAATATATACTGTAGAGAGGCAGAGTAGGAACAGGGAGTTACACGGCCGCTGCAATCATCCAGATCATAGGATCTCCTATGAAGTAAGAATGGATAGAATTTGATTGGATTTGTGATGTGAGAGAATGAACAAAGTGGAGCCTGATGACTCCTAACTTTTTGTCTAGATTAATTAGGTGAATGGTGGATACCATTTTAATGAGATAAAGAAGACTGGGGGAAAAACAGGTTTGAAGGGGAAAAAAATCACCTCTTTTCACACTACACCTTACATTGTGTTTACACAAAGTAAGTAAATACTGAGGCCTATCTTAGGCCTTGCTAGAAATGCCCTTCAATTCCTTGCCCTTTTTTTTTTTTTCACACGGATTTTGCTCTGTTGCCCAGGCTGGAGTGCAGTGGCACAATCTCGGCTCACTGTAACCTCCACCTCCAAGGTTCAAGGGATTCTTCTGTCTCAGCCTCCCAAGTAGCTGAGATTACAGGCATGCGCCACCCTGTCCAGCTAGTTTTTGTATTTTTAATAGAGATGAGGTTTCATCACATTGGCCAGGCTGGTCTCAAACTCCTGACCTCAAGTGATCCATCCGCCTTGGCCTCCCAAAGTGCTGGGATTATAGGCATGAACCACTGTGCCCAGCCAGCTCCCTGCCTTTGACCAGTACTTAATGCTGGATGAAAAGGCTGGTTATATCTAGATGTATACCCTAGAGAAACCCTTGTCTGTATACACAGGGAGATATATGCTAGAGCAGCGGTTCCCAACCTTTTTGACACCAGGGACTGGTTTCATGGAAGACAATTTTCCATGAACAGGAGACGGGGGAAGGATGGTTTTGGGATAAAACTATTCTACCTCAGATCATCAGGCATTAGATTCTCACTGAGATCCCTTGCATGTGCTGGTCACAGTAGGGTTTGTGCTCCCATGAAAATCTAATGCTGCTGCTGACGTGACAGGAGGCTGAACTCGGGCGGTAAAGCTTGCCATCTGCTCACCTCCTGCTGTGTGGCCCAGTTCCTGGGGTTTGGGGACCCTTGTACTAGAGTATTCACTGCAGCATCATTTATGTAGCAAAGAAATGGGAAGCAACCTAAAATTCCATTAACGAGAATAGACAAAAAAATTGTAGTACATGCTAATAAATTATGGCATATTCATACTATGGAATACTATTTAATAGTTAACCTAATAAACTAAAATCTGCAAAACATGTTGAATAAAAAAGCAGGTTGCAGAATAATACACAGTGTGATACCATTGATAGAAGGTTTGAAAAACACAAACCTCTACTATACCTAATTTATAAATCATACATAGGTAGCTTGCAGATTTCATGGGAAGAAGAGAGGTAGACTCATGTAAAGTTTAGAGGAGGCTTCAATGTAGCAATTTTGAGGAAAGTAAAAATATTATTCTTTAAAAAGCAATAGGAGCAAATATGGCAAAATTTTAAGATTTGATAAAGCTAAACTGCACCTCTATAATTTTCTGATGATGTGAAATTTAACAATTTAAATATCAAGAAAAATATTTAATTGGGAGAATTACTCACATTCTCGAAAATGACTTAATTTGCTCATTACTTCCTCCTTGAACAGATGAATGACCTGCTCAACAATCTCTCGGTTTCGATTCTGGCCCAGGGCATACAGGTATTTCTCCAGAAGAGGAACATTTTTCAGATTCCAGATGAAGTTCTCCCGATGAAGACTACTTAGCTTTGGGTGATGGAATTTCTAAATTTAAAGCAAGATATTCTTAGTCTCTTGACAGAGCAACCACTGCTGAGAGAGGTGAGAGGTACTGCACATTTATTTTATTTTTATTTTTGAGATGGAGTCTTGCTCGTTGCCCAGGCTGGAGTGCAGTGGTGTGATCTTGGCTCACCACAACCTCCACCTCCTGGGTTCAAGTGATTCTCCTGCCTCAGCCTCCTGAGTAGCTGGGATCGCAGGCATGCATCACTATGCCCGGATAACTTTTTTGTGTATTTTTAGTAGAAATAGGGTTTCACCATGTTGGCCAGGCTGGCCTCTATCTTCTGACTTCAGGCGATCCACCCGGCTGGGCCTTCCAAAGTGCTGGGATTATAGGCGTGAGACACTGCACCCAGCCAGTGCTGCGCATTTTTAATCAACCAGATCCTGTAGAACTCACTATCACAAGAGATCTGCTGTTTCAGAAGAAGACTTGCTCTACACTGGCCAGGGAGTCTCTGAGAGAGAGAGCTGGCATTCTCTCATGGTCATTGACTTGCCCATTTACTTTAATTCACAAAATAGTAAGCCCTTCATAGCTGCGCAGGATCTCTCAGTTTTGGGAGCACATTCCCAGCTCACTTGATCCTCATAATTATGTGAAGATAGGCATTATTGCCCACAGCTTACAAAAGAAATGGGAGGCAGCTCTAAAGAACTCTGTTCTCACCCATGCCCCTTGTTACCTCTCTGACTTCATCTTCTACTGCCTTTGCCCCCCTACTCCAACTACCCTGGCCTCCCTGCTGTTCTAGGAACATGCCAGGCATGTTCCCACCTCACAGCCTTTTCCTTTTGCTGTTTCCTTTTTTGGGGATGCCCTTGGCCAGACATCCACATGGTTAATACCCTCATTTTTGCCAGCTCTTTACTCAAAAAACACCTTCTCTGTGAGAATGTCCTGACCACCATCTAGAATTTCATCCCTCTCTCTCTCCGAGATTTTGTACCTGTTGTCTCTGCTGAGTTTTTCTTCTTCTTTTTTTTTGAGACGGAGTTTCGCTCTTGTTACCCAGGCTGGAGTGCAATGGCGCCATCTCGGCTCACCGCAACCTCCGCCTCCTGAGTTCAAGCAACTCTCCTGCCTCAGCCTCCCAAGTAGCTGAGACTACAAGCATACACCACCATGCCCAGCTAATTTTTGTATTTTTAGTAGAGACGGGGTTTCACCATGTTGAGCAGGATGGTCTCGATCTCTTGACCTCGTGATCCACCCGCCTCGGCCTCCCAAAGTGCTGGGATTACAGGCGTGAGCCACCATGCCTGGCCAGTTTTTCTTCTTATCACTTTTGCTATGGTAATGTTTTGCTAATATTTGTCATAGTTCAACTTATTTTACTGTCTACTCTCATTAGAATATAAGCTCCATGAGGGATAGTGCTGCTTTTTGTCTGTTTTGTTCACTCCTGTATCCCCACACCTAGAACAGTGCCTGGTACATTGAAAGCCCTGCTCGAGCAGTATTTGCTGAATTAAAGGATGTTCTTAGAACACAAAATTCTGGAATTAGAAGGCCTTTAGAGTTTGACCACTCTATCTAAAGTTGTAAATAATTTTCACTATCATTGCATGAATGGGGAAACTGAGGTTCGCAGAGGGATAACGACTTGTTATTACAAGGCTGAGGGAGGACTTAGATCTGACTCACAGTTCGGACCTCCTTCACAGAGTGGGTGCTGGAAGGTGCCTTGATGCTCATCCAGTGAAATATGTTTCAAACTTTTTTGACCATGACTTGCAGTAAGAATTATATTTTACATCATAACCCCAGTATACGGGCACACACACATATAAAGAAAAAAGTCCCAGTAAACAATCCTTAGACTATTACATGTGACATATTCTGATGTTTTTAAAATTATATTCTGGCTGGGCACGGTGGCTCACGCCTGTAATCCCAGCACTTTGGGAGGCTGAGGTGGGTGGATCATTTGAGGTCAGGAGTTCGAGACCAGACTGGCCAACATGGTGAAACCCCATCTCTACTAATAATACACAAAATTAGCTGGGCATGATGGTGGGTGCCTGTACGCCCAGCTACTTGGGAGCCTGAGGCAGAAGAATCGCTTGAACCTGGGAGGCAGAGGCTGCAGTGAGCAGACATTGCGCCGCTGCACTGCAGCCTGGGTGACACAGTGAGATTCTGTCTCAATAAATAAATAATAAAATAAATAAATATATTCTATTTATTTTAAAAGTTCCTCTAAATGGATTTCAGTACTCATTATTATGACCAGGAGTTTGAGAACCTTCCCCTGACGCTTCTCTTAACAGTAGCATTTTCTTGCTAAACGGTCATGTATCCTGTTTAAATACTTGCTGATATGGTTTGGGTATGTGTCCCCACCAAATCTCATGTTGAACTGTAAGCCCCAGTATCAGAGGTGGGGCCTGGTGAGAGGTGATTGCATCATAGGGGTGGTTTCTTATGAATGGCTTAGCACTCTCTTCTTGTGCTGTTCTTGTGATAGGGAGTGAGTTCTTCTGAGATCTGGGTTTTTTGTTTTGTTTTGTTTTTTGCGATACAGTCTCTCTCTGTTGCCCAGGCTGGAGTGCAGTGGTACGATCTTGGCTCACTGCAACCTCTGCCTCCCAGGTTCAAGTGATATTCCTGCCTCAGCCTCCCGAGTAGCTGGGATTATAGGCACCTGCCACCACGCCTGGCTAATTTTTGTAATTTTAGTAGAGATGGGTTTTACCACATTGGCCAGGCTGATCTCGAACTCCTGACCTCAAGAAGGCTGCAGAAATTTGCATAAGTAAAAAGGAGCCAAGTGCTAATAGCCAAGACAATGGGGAAAAGGTCTTAAAGTCCTTTCAGAGACTTATGTCCTGGAGGGCTAGGAGGACAGGATGGTTTTATGGGCCAGGCCCAGGGCTCTGCTGCCCTACACAACCTTGGAATATTGCTCCCCGCATTTCAGTTGTGCCACCTCCAGCCATGGATCGAAGGGTTATGGTACAAGTACAGCTTGGACCACTTCTTCAGAAAGCGCAAGCTTAGAAGCCTTGGTGACTTCCACGTGGTGTTAAGCCTGTGGGTGCACAGAGTTTAAAAGCTGAGGCTTAGGAGCCTCTGCCTAGATTTCAGAGGATGTACAGAAAGCCCGGATGCTCAAGCAGAAACCTGCTGTAAGGGTGGAGCCCTCATGGAGAACTTCTACTGGAACAGTGCAGAGGAGAAATGTGGGCTTGGAGCCCCTACGCAGAGTCCCCACTGGGGCACGGCCTAGTGAAGTTGTGAGAAGAGGGCCATCATCCTCTAGTCCTCAGAACGGTAGATGCACTAAATTTGCACCCTTCTCCTGGAAAAGCCACAGCCACTCAATACCAGCCCTTGAGAGCAGCCACAGGGGCTGAACCTTGCAAGGCAACAGGGTTGGGCCTGCCCTAGGCCTTGGGAGCCCACCCCTTGCATCAGTGTGCCTTGGATGTGGGACACGGAGTCAAAGGAGATTATTTTGGAGCTTTAAGATTTAATGACTGCCCTGCTGGGTTCTGGACTTGCATGAGGCCTGCAGTCCCTTCCTTTTGGCTGATTTTTCCCTTTTGGAATAGGAGTGTATACCTAATGCCTATACTCCATTTTATCTTAGAAGTAAGCAACTTGTTTTTGATTTTATAGGCTCATAGGCAGAAGGGACTTGCCTTGTCTCAGATGAGATTTTGGACTGTGGGCTTTTGAGTTAATGTTAGAATGAGTTAAAATTTGGAGGGACTATTGAGAAAGGATGATTGTATTTTGCATGGTGAGGAGGACACAACATTTGGGAGGCCAAGGGTGGAATGATATGGTTTGGCTCTGTGTCCCCACCAAATCTCATGCCAAACTGGAATCCCCAGTATTGGAGGTGGGGCCTGGTAGGAGGTGATTGGCTCATGGGGATGGTGTCTCATGAATGGTTTAGCCCCATCCTCCTGAGGCTGCTCTCGTGACAGTGAGTGTGTTCTCATGAAATCTGTTGTTTAAAAGTGTGCGGCACACCCACCTTGCTCTCTCTTGCTCCTGCCCCTGCCGTGTAAGACACCTGCTCCCACTTTGCCTTCCGCCATGATTGGAAGCTTCCTGAAGCCTCCTCAGAAGCAGAAGTCACTATGCTACCTGTATAGCCTGCAGAACCATAAGCCAATTAAACCTGTTTTCTTTATAAATTACCCAGTCTCAGGTATTGCTTTTTTTTCCCCCCCCAGGTATTTCTTTATAGCAATTCGAGAATGGACTAACACACTTCCCATGGGAGGTACTTTTTACCCTCATGGAGATGGCTTTGTGTTTTTCCTTTTGTGGAGTTAAAATCTGCCTCTGCCTCTCTAATAGTATCCATGCCACTGGTTCCAGCTGTGACCTCTGGGGCCATCTGGAACTGGATTAGTCCTCCACATTTTTGAGGATAGCACTCCTGCTCCCTTGCAGTCCTCTCCCTCAGAGTCTAAGTCTGTTGCCCAGGCTGGAGTGCAGATGCATAATAGCTCACTGCAACCTCTGCCACCCGGGTTTAAGTGATTCTCATGCCTCAGCCTCCCAAGTAGCTGAAATCTCAGGCATGTGTCACCATGCCCAGTTAATTTTTTAGTATTTTCAGTAGAGACGGGGTTTCATCATGTTGGGCAGGCTAGTCTTGAACTCCTGGCCTCAAGTGATCCACCCCTTCAACCTCTCAAACTGTTGAGATTACAGGTGTGAGCCACTCCACCTGGCTTTGGAGCCTTACCTCTGGTTTTTTTTTGTTTTTTTTTTGAGGTGGAATGTCACTCTGTTATCCAGGCTGGAGTACAATGGCATGATCTCAGCTCATTGCAACCTCCGTCTCCCAGGTTCAAGCGATTCTCCTGCCTCAGCCTCCTGAGTAGCTGGGATTACAGGT